TCCCCTCTTCCTCCCCCCTCCTCTTGCTCCTCCTCCCTCTACTCCATCACCTCCTCCCCCTCCTCCTCCTCCTGCCCCCTACTCCTCCTCCATGACCGTCTTCATTCGATCTCCATCACCTTCTCCGCTCCTCCTCCTCCCCCTCCTCCTCCTCCTGCCCCCTACTCCTCCTCCATGACCGTCTTCATTCGATCTCCATCACCTTCTCCGCTCCTCCTCCTCCCCCTCCTCCTACTCCTATCCCCTACTCCTCCTCCATGACCGTCTTCATTCGATCTCCATCACCTTCTCCGCTCCTCCTCCTCCCCCTCCTCCTCCTCCTGCCCCCTACTCCTCCTCCATGACCGTCTTCATTCGATCTCCAGATCCTCAGGGGCAGGTACGTTTATGTAAACACAGGGTACATATATGCTGAGAAGATACAGGTCTGGTACACTTGTGTATACATATACGTACCTCGGGTACATATCTGTAGTACCTGATACGACAACGACCCCTTCAGCGCCAGTGTGACTGTGAGTGTATCAGACCTGGCTGAAAGATGCTCAGTTTTACAGTGTCTGCACCTGGTAAGATCATTCTTCATGGTGAACATGCAGTTGTGTATGGAAAGGTAATTTTTACGTATGTCTGCTAATAATAGTGATATTATCCACCCTTCCATCCATTTACGATCTATCTATGGTCTAGTACCGGTACTAGTTTTTCTAGCTCTAGGACTATAATTATAGCCCACGTACACGGTACAGTTGTCGCAGGGCTACAGAACATACTATGCCAGTTTTACAACTGCACCTGCTCCCCACTGCTTCCACGAAAAATGGCTCACAAAACGCAAAATGATCGGACTTTTTAACACTTATTTATCTACATCGACATCTCACCTATCTTTTTGAACACTTTCCACAACTTTACACCATGTATTTATGCATTTATTCCTCAAAGTGCTAGCACTACTTGCGTTTCGTTTTCAATTGCTGTTGTGTACTCACGTGACGTCACACGAAATGTAATAGGCTGCACCATAGCTGCCCATGTGTTTTGTCTACATTTCGGGTGACGTTTCGAGGAATAAATGCACAAGTACATAGTGTAAAGTTGTGGAAAGTGTTCAAAAAGATAGGTGAGATGTCCATGTAGATAAATAAGTGTTAAAAAGCCCGATCATTTTGCGTTTTGTGAGCCATTTTTCGTGGAAGCAGTGGGGAGCTGGTGCAGTTGTAAAACTGGCATAGTATGTTCTGTAGCCTTGCGGCAACTGTACGCAGGCTATAGTCCTAGAGCTATAGTTTTTCGTGCGCCACAAAAACACTAGGTTAGATACAATAAATTGTAACCCAGCAAGACTAGGTATGTGAGATGCAGTTCTTGAAATTGAATGCTTCTCACCCTGCTCTCATATTATCAACAATGGATATTGTACTTCACGCCTCACTCCCTCAATCCTGTATTTTCATTTGTATGGCTTTTCTTCCTCACTGCTCTTTGCTTATCACAGTTTTCCCTACCCCTCTGTCTTATATTTTGTCAGACCATGCCATGCATATTCTGTCACCTGAAATAGTATATATGGTAATGATATAACTTTCCAATAAACTTGCCTTATATATTATGATTCCACTATGGATATCATTTACTGTGATTACACATTAAATATTAATTTTCATAAATTACATTTTTGTAAATAATTTTAAAATATATTTAATATTGTTTTCCACAGCCAGCCTTAGCTACTTCTTTAAACTTGAGAACAACTATACATCTCAGTGGGAATGATGGTAGCATCTTTATATTGTGCTTACCCAGTATCGATATAAACAAGGCATGGGAAGTTACAGATCTTGAACTTCTATATTCTACAATACAAGAAGGTTCGTATATCTTTTCTTATCTCAATCGGGAAGATTATGCAAATAGACTAGAAATGGCAGATTTTATGAATCTGTTTAAAAGGCTAGAAACTTGCAATAACTAGTTTAAATCCTCGATAAGAATTGTGAATGTGTCGCAAGTTTTTGGCATGAAAATATGTACGTACTATCAATACAACGAGGGTCACAGAAGTCTAGGCTTGTCACTATTGGTCAAATTTGGTTAATTGGTTAAAAACTTAAAAGTCAAACTCAGACTTTGGAATAATGTAATTGGTTCCATTTAATATTAGGAAATTTAATTCATAATTTGTATGTTTCCCCTGGGGTCTTGTCAAACCCTTTGTCGCTAACTGCCATCTTGTGATTAAGGCAACAACCGTTGCAGCTAAAGAAACACAACTGAAAGCATTTATGTGCTCTTGATAATATCTTTTTAGCATTTTAGCAGGAGTACTCTTCACTGTTACTTTATTGTAGGCAATGGCAGTATTCCATCATCTCCCGATACAGCGACGTTGTCACGGCTGCGACAGTTTACAGATGCCGAGGATGGTAATGCTAAGGACCTTGCCATCATTGTCTTTCTCTACCTTCATTCACAGATCATTGGTTCACGGGGAAGGTAATGCTCAGTATGCATATACATAGTCGTACCATGACTGGTCAAGTTTAGTTACCCTTTCGCAGCCTGTTTTCACTGTGAATATGGGAGCATGTTTCTCACAGAGTGACACCCCACTGAGCACTAATCTGTATTGCACCTCTTAGTTACAGTGCTTTTGTATATTTGTAGCATTACAAGTGTGTTTATAATAGAAAAATACTAGGCAAAAGACACAAGTCCAAAAACTCATACTTGACATATTTTCTAGTACATTTCTGCCAAGATTTATCATGATTTAAACTTAATGCCCGTAATTCACTGTTGATACGAGGATAGAAAGCTCCCATGTTTACGTTTATTTTGAACAGACTTATCAGCGGTAAATCAAGTTGACATGGCTGAGCATGAATATATTGCTTTTCAAGATATCGTACATTCACAGCCTTGCTGCGCTGCGTGTGGTTGTGGGCTCGGACCTTCCCGTCGGCGCAGGGCTAGGCTCTTCTGCAGCATACAGCGTATCTCTTGCAGCAGTGCTGCTTGTACTGGCTGGACAAATTAGACAGGTGCGTTCTCCAAATCCAGAACAAAATGGCAACTGGCTAAACAATAGGCATATAAGCACGAAAATAATTTCGTGCTTGAAAGAAGATTTTGCAGAATAGGGAACAAGGATAGCTTTTATTTGTTTAGTACAATATGTAGGAAAAACAACCAAGAATTGCAGAAACTTGAGGCAGAATGCTATTTTTAATTGTTATTAGTTGTATCAGTCTTGTAGTCCAGTGCTATAAATTATGTATTTTAATTTTTTATATATTTTAATTTATTAGATTCCTAACAGCTGGACACGTGAGGAGCTAGGCCTGGTCAATAGCTGGGCATTTGAGGCCGAGCGCATCATACATGGAAATCCTTCAGGAGTTGACAATGCTGTTAGCACCTATGGCGGCCTTATATTGTACCGGAAAGGGGAAGCACTGAAGCCAGCTAGGTTAGTTCTTATACTCTTTATTGTCAGTAAGCATAGCTATATTGAAGCCATTATAACTCTACAAGTGTAATGTTAGGAATGGAACGTATTTACCTCTATAGGTTTGCGCTTAATGGGAGACTAGTCGACCTGCATGCTTTATGGAAGTTCCCGTCCGTTGCCTTGTTTATATATAGTCTGTTGTTCCTAACACACACTGCTTCCAAAATCGTAACTTACAATAGACCCACCAGACCTCAACAGACAGTAGATGAGCATATGTACATATCCTCACCTCCACAGAGTGCAAGTGGTGGCTAATGGTGTCTATTTATCTGTTACAGAGGTAATTCTCTTCAAGTTGTAATTGTGAACTCACATGTACCTCGCAGCACAAAGCGTCTGGTAGAAAAAGTGAAGGAGAGGCTTGATAAGGTAGGTCAACTTTGTTGTATTCTTCACAGTGAATTTCTGTGCATATCTATGTATACATGTGCATGCACTATTAAATGCATATACCTTTTCATTTATACCATAATCATTTATACAGAATTCCATGTTGTATCTTGTCATTATCACTGCTATAACAAAACTATAATGCAGTGTATTTGCTATTCTATTCTGATTTCATGCAGAATGTGGTTGTGTACACTAACAATGCAAAATGCACGTTTTATTTTTTAGTATCCAGAAATCATTAGACCCATGCTGGAGTCAATGGAAGCACTTGTTGTGAAAGCTTTAGACACCATGCAGGGATTTGAAAACAGTGACGCAAATGTCTGCTATGATATACTCGAGGTATATTCAGTTGCTTATTATCACGTTTATAAAACAGCGAACTTGTTAAACTGCAGAAACTATTGTTTCTGCTAATTCCTTGCCAGTTCCTATCAAATGTGTTTGATTGTTTAATTACCTATATGCGTGATTGTTTATGTTTCATGTTTCCGCAGGAGTTGATTGATATCAACCAGAGTCAGCTCAATGTCTTGGGAGTGGGACACCTGTCGTTGGAACATATATGCTTGCTATGTCAGCAGAATGATTTCCACTGTAAGCTGACTGGTGCAGGAGGTGGTGGATGTGCATTTGTGCTAATTAGGCCAGGTAAATTTCTCTAGCATTAGTAAGATCTATTTGACATCTGCTGCTTACGTTTTAAATTTATTTCAGCGTGTTTACAACTTTATTATATAGACCATAATATGACAGTTACTATCATACCTCGTTTAAAGCTTCGTTTAAGGAGATTTTGTTTAACATAGTTAATATGTAATATTCTGTTAATGGAACCAAAACCCTGGGTTACCTATAAATCAAAGTGTACTATACAGTAAAACTCGCATAAGTCGACACTTCTGGAACCAGCATATTTGTGCCGACTTACGAAAATGACGACATACGCGTAAGTCGTCATTTTGTCGACTTATATGTAGGGCTCCCCTCCCAAGCGCCCGTCACCCCTACACAGTCATAAACATGCTCCACACACAACGTCGGTTCACGCCACATACATAGCAGACATGAAACAATCAGGAACTCAGTTGCGCGATCTACAGGCGTTCGTCGGTGTGCCGTGCCCGAAGCGCATATCTGCGACAGCCAGCTCACACATCACCTAGAGTCCTAGACCGTACATTGCGCCATCGGCATTTCTGATGACGACTTTCAGATGGGAAATTACTGTTGTTTGTATTACATGGGACCTGTCTGAGGGCGACGACTTGCACATAATAACGACTTATAAATGACGACTTAGGCGGGGCTATTCCAATGGATTTACTATGAGAGAAAATCGGGACTTTGACTTCCATGACGACTTATGCGAATTCACGAGTTAGACGATGACGACTTATGCGAGTTTTACTGTATTACAAAAGAAGCTCTTAGATAACTTGTTACATTTTTACATGAAATAAGTATGGAAAATCTAGTAAAATATCATACCACAACTGGGCTATTCCCACAAGAAATGTGGATTTAATTGAACTATTCATCATTCAGTGTAATATCAGAATATTTCCTTTGCAGATGCATCTAAAGAGAAGGTAAAGACGTTAATAAAGAGTATAGAAGAGGCAGGATATATGAGTTGGCTGACTAGCATAGGTGGTAGCGGTGTGACCTTGCATGAATCTATGCCGCTTTCTTCATGATTACACGTTGCTTTGCACAACTTGATAAGTAGTGAGACGTGCCTCCTGATATTCTTCATTACAAAGTATGTTATGAACACATATATTGTACATGTGCACGAATGTGTCTACACATAATTATAATTTTACATATTCTAAGTTGTCATAAACTGATATACTTCTTGTAGATTGTGATGGCTCAAGAATCTGTATTTAATATTATAAAGTGTAATAAATGTAATATATTTATGATATTAAAGTGTATACTATAGTGCATGGGAAAAATTAATGCCCGTTACATATAAAATAAAAATCATTTAACTATTCTTGGTGCTACTGTCTATCATTTGCCATTATGTTAATGTACAATCAAGAAATTTAATCCAATGAAACATTAAAAAGTGAGATGTGAAATGATGAGTTTTTTTAATAAATTTGTTACTCCATAACAGAACAGCACATTTATAAATACATAGGTTGCTATTTTCGTTAGTATTTTTTTCTATGAATATACATTGCCATAGCAATTTTATAAAGGAAACCTGCAATTTATAAACTCTTGACAACTGATGCTTTTATCAATTAAAATTTGTCATCTCCTTCAGCAATGTTTTTCAAACTAAGCACTTCCAGCGTTCCTCTGCCTTTTGTACCGGACCTTATCAAGTCATCCATCTGTCTGAAGCAGCCTGGATCTATCAAGCATGTCTGTAAAAAGAGGTATCACAATGCTACATTCTAGGAGAATTTACCATGGACTGAAATTTTTTTATTATTTCGGAAATGAAGTTTATTATCCCAGAAACACGGAATTAAAATCTATTTAACCAGATATTAAAGGTCTGAAAAAGGGTGTAAATTACTACAGGCAATTTGTCACATAGCCAAGACATGATATAGTCATTTTTACAATTTACAATAATTGTTTACTATTTGGATATCTAAATTCCTGTCTTTGCACATAGCCATGGCAAGCGTATGTATTGTCTTCTCATTTTCACTCACCAATTCCAAGTCGCCATCCCAGCGTTCTGACTCAACATTTGCTGCCAACTCTTTCACTTTCTCCTTGAGTTTTTTCGCTTCTTTTTGTGGCAACACAACCCTCAGTCTCATCTGTGCCCTCTCAATCTCCATTGTCTCCTTCAACTGCTTGATAACTTCCAATGACTAAATTGGTGTAATAAATACTGGTGTAGTGTGATACCTCACTAAACTTACAAGTGACAGCCAAGTGTCATCTTTGCAAATCAAAGAAACACTAATATTTTACTGACATCATTGATCAAGACTCAATTTGTTATTAATTTCAGTTAAATTTTGATTTCCACTTTCACATAAAATAGCTGCTCTGATGAAACTTTAATGTGATGATAGATCAACTTCATGCAATTGCCTTTCTATAAACAATATATATCACATGATTGGGATCAGGAAAACTACACATACCTGTTGCTTAGCACTTCTGTTTGGTTTTACAGAGAAGTGTAAATCCTTCATGGCACGTTCAATGACACCTACAGTGTATGGGCGTTTTGTCTCCGGGTTCACTGTGTTATCAGCAACTGTTGTGGCTATGTCCTTAAAAGTAGATGTAAGCTGTGTAGCTCTTTCTTTTTCTGAAACTTGTAACTCCCCTTTGGCCAGTATCTGAAAAAAGAAAAAGAAAATGAGGCGACACTGCAACCTGGTTGACCAACGAATTCAAACTACATAATTAGTGTGAGATAACTGATGGGTGGCAGACAATCATGGCAACTTGTATTGCTGACACGTATTGACAAATACCCAATAGTTACTTAACACATTATCTCTAGCATTTAAACTTCGCCTCCTCTTTAACTTCTTAAATATGTATTTGAAAATGAATTTCCAAATTAAGCAGCTGTCAATAGCTACCTGCTGAGAATGATATCGAATATCGATAATAGCAAAGTTATAACGAAAACATATTGATGTGATTTAGGGGCTTCATAATGACTAAAGCTACTAATTCTAACATTTAAAGTTGATCAGTTACAACATTACATAATCCCAGTAATAGCAATCATAACATTAGTAGAAACAGTAGTATATATACAGATTTCATTCACACACCTACCTACCTGCTTGCATATTTCTGTCTGATCACCGGTGGCAAAAGCACGTTGCATGTCATCACCTTTTGCAACCTGACCCTTGGATACGTTCACAAACACTGTGTGCGACTGCAGAACCTCATCAATGTCTTTCTCACTGGAAGTGGACGACACATGGCATCACATGAAATTGTTTAAAAAAGTGAATATGTGCACGAGCTCCAGCATAATACGGACTAAGTCCCAAGTCATTGTTTTGAGTAATGAGCACGCACACATGTCAATGCTGAAAATGGCCTACTTGGACAAAAATGAGATTTTTACCAAAATAAGTTCCTAAGTGCATATTTAATCCGGATATATAGGTTCAGATATCTCTAGATTATTATGGTCATTTTTAATTTTTTTTTTAAATTGTAAAAAAAAATTTAAGGGCTCCTGACCGCTCATCCCCGACTGGGCCCCTTACCTGGAACGCTTTATCTCAAAAGCTGCATATTCCGGAATAAGTCTGTTTCCGATCTTCAAATTGCTGTAGATCGGTCAATTCTTTAGATATAGCCAAATATTATATATCATTTTAAAGGTAATTAAATGATCTATTCAGATATGCACATAACTCAATTTGTGGAATTTCCTACTTAATCCTGGTTTTGCTGGAGCGGGTCACATATGTGCACGAGCTCATAGACAACAATAAACCTGCTTCCTTGTCACTATATCCAGTGCAGTGGACACCGACAAGTACGAGAACAGAACAACACACCGCTCTCTTCCTATCCACCCTTCTCTACTTTTTGTCTCATCCACCTTTTTTTATTTTCTACTTGCATCACCCCATCTGTTCTGTTATCTCCCCCCATGAGACATGCACAGACTATATTATATAGGTGGTTTGAACTGTGCTGGTCACATGTCCATACTATTTTATGTTTAGTTTTGTATAGATCTTTCTTAGCTTTCTTATTCTGCTCTACCCATCTCTCTCTCGCTATAATATATATATATATATATATACAGGGTTTCTCCCCAGGAATTTCAGAAAGCATATCGGGCAATCGGGCAATTCATCGTTGAGGCCACAATTAAAAAAATATTTGTTGAGTGCCCTTCACCCGGACCAGGCTGAAACGTTCTCGAGTAGGTTAGGTAGGCTTTTTCTGTTTATGCGGGCGGTGCGGGCGTGCGCGGGGTCTTTTTTCACGCAATCGAGCATGCGCGTGCGTGCTCGTATTGGCTCGGTTGTGGCCTGTGGTTGTGGAATTACACTATTTATGTCTGATTAGTATGGTTGTATTGTGTTTGTGGCGCGCATGTGGCGTGCGCTTCGACGGCTGTGTGTTGTATGTGTGTTTGCGCGGCCCATGTGTGCGTGGCGCACGACGTGGTGTGTATGGTGTGTGTAATGTCGTGTGCGCGGCGCGATGTGTGCGTGCCGCACGCGGTTGTGTGTGTGTTGTTGTGTTGGTGTGTAGTGGTTAGGCATATGAATTAGGAGTCTATCAATATTGATGGTCTATCTGTACTGGATAGACTAGAGAAGTTAATGTAATTACCTACCAACCATTCTATTAATAAGCTGTCTACGCACGCTGACGTCAACACATTGTTAAGCTAGCTAGTGCGCTAACTGGCCGCGCGAAGGCTCAATAAATCGTGTTGAGGGCCTTTTTGTGGCGAGTCACGCAGGTTCGGGGTGAGCGGAAAACAACATTTTTTTAATGTATGGCCCGATTGCTAAGTGGAGTGTGTGTAAGCAGCACCAACACACAGATAAACTCTATCAGTTTGGACACAGATGTACACCTTCCTGTTCAAACACAGCTTGGCTGCCTAGGGACAGTCAAAACAAACACAGCTGGAATTTTTTATTTAGCAGCAACAGCCAACGGCATTTGGACGAGTCTTTACATTGAATGATTTATGTAAACTCAAGATTAGCTTGCAGCCTGATTGAAGGTTCGACAGCGGGTACGCTAAGAGCTGGAAAACGGTCTGACTAGCCCATTCCGGGCGTATTCGAAGGAGTAAGAGGAACATGTGTGTGCGGGTTACCATATTAATTATCTAATGGTCTGATCGTGTATGTAACATCATTATACATCCATTTATTAACATCTTACTCGAATTAATGTTTAGATGATGTCTGGAGTTAGGTCGTACAAGGAGAAGACGGAAAGGTATGATACTGAGTTAGATAAGTTAGAACATTATTAGGATACTATGAGCACCACTAGTACATAGGTTTGCTCGGGCAACAGTTCTGTATTGCCTCTCTTGAGGCGTAGCAGAGTGAGCGCTTCTGGCGATAATTAGCCGGTGATGGTTAGTGTGGATATTAGCTAGGACTATCAGTGGGCACGTTTGGCGTTGTGAGCAAGGCTCTAACAATGTGTACATAAGCAAATAGCTCTCTCAGAGACATAGGAGGTACACATTTGATTATAGATTTAAACATCAGCAACAGAGCTCGAGGTTATTATTAGAGGACGGGTGTTTATAGCGCAACGCTCGCTAACTGTGTTGCTATCTGCTTCTTATCTAGATGGAGGGAAGAATGGCACTGAGAGAATCCTATGAGGTCATCTTGTAGTAAGATATTTTCGTGTCACTATGGCGCGCGTTATGGCTGTGTGGGGTTCGAGACTATAGAACTTCATATGGGTTGTTATTCTCATAACTCACTGTAGCACTTCATGCGTCTCGCTATTCTTTGGACATGTCTTTAGAGCTAATGTTCACTATAGAGTACTCTGTATGTAAATAAGGTTGTACCCTGATTATACAATACTCGAGAAGGAGGTGTCTTATGGTATGCGGCGAACTATAGGAGTCCACCAAGTTTACTGGGAGTCTCCAGTGCCGTAGTGAACCACGTGGCACATTGTATTCTGGGTGGCCAGGCTGATGAAAATCTTTTATAAAATGGTGCGTTTTTGGAGCGGCTCGTTAAGGACGCGGATTCAGCCGATCAATCGGTAACTGCCCGTCTCAAGACAAAAAACACCTAAGGAGTGCACCATGACAAGAAGACACTGCGCGCCATCTCTTACTGCGACCTTCTCGTATTAGGTTTTATGAGACGACGCTGATCGCCCGAATTACGAAGATGCGTACGGTCACCAGCGTCAACAGAATGGCCGGATCTCGAAAATATCTGTCCGCTTGGCTCGTCACTTCGAATTTTTGCTCGGTTTATTCAGTTTAATACAGAGTAGTTGTCGATAATAGTAAGTTCCAAGAATGCGGGCAGAAAAGGTTCCGTGGTGAGAAGTCACACGACCGAGTTTGGAAATTCTTAGTCTCTGAAACACTGTCACGCAGCAAAACCGCCGTCCTGTTCCAATCTTCAGCTTTAGCGTGCTCAGTGAGTGTCACTCAGCGGTCCCTGAATTTCCTCCAAGAACAACCAATTAGCGCAGCAGTTGCGGGATCTGATGCTATAGATCCGTTATCTCGTGGACGAGGTGTTTTTAGTTATACTGGTCTCTGCATTACTTCATGAAGGGGACTTATTGAGTATGCGTGTCTTTGCTTCTGTCGGTTCTATTTCAAGGCCCATAGCGCTCAGCTGGTCGTGGAATCTCGGCTATTACAAATAGTCTCCGTAGTGATCACAACTCAGTTACGTGGGTGCTATTGGTCGTAGTGACACGCTGTGACGCGGCTGCTAAGCAAGTTCTATATACTTATATTTAAATAGAGATCAGGCTATCATGGAATCTACCGCTGAACGACTTTCTCAAATGTCCAGTACTTATCAGACACAGACTAACTACGTTCAAGTAGAAGGTTGTATGTCGGACGTAGTCTGTAGTGCTAGTTAATATTGTCGCAATTATCTCTGTTCAGTAAATATCATAGACTATTGTTGCATCTATTTACACGGGTTTCCGATTAATTAATGTGAGCAGGAAGTATGAGTGCATGGGGCACTTAGATAATGGTATCATAATATATTAATAAATTGTATTTGCTTGATTAGAGCCATTATAAGTGTACCATATGGAGCTAGTAGTGCACAGATAAACATATAAATAAGATATAGAATATCGATTTAGACTATAGTTATCTTGTCATTTTATATTAGCGATATTATAATTATTCATAATTATATCAGTGATTATAGTTTTATTTTACGCTTATGATATATGTGCAAATTTGAACCATAATTAGCCCTTGAAACTACTCGAAGAATGTTGCGAACTACTAAGCCGTCTCTCTCAAGCAATGTATTGCTATTATATATGAGTTCTTATTATATTAAATCTAAATATGCATTATTTTACTACGATAACACATTCGTCAACAGCTGCACACGCTAGCACATCAACACCTATAGTACTACCTACACTCTCTCTCTCTTCGTCATCTTTCCACGTCCATGTATGACAGACGCTACTGGCTACAGCACATACTGACTCAACGTAAGTTACTAGCTAGAAAGAATCCGCGCGCTGGCGCTGACACCTCTCTTCTCTCAGTCCTCTAACACGAGAACATTACTCTCGCTTTACATGGCTGTAGTATGCGCATCACCGCTACTCTCTCTCTCTTCTTTCTGACACTACCACGTTCTATCTCTGTAGATTCTCTCTCGGTCTACCACACCACAATGCCGCGTACCGACACGCCTCACTCGGCTCTCTCTGCACACAATTACGTCCCTCACTCCTCGCCTTAGCTCCTTCATTCTCTCTACTCCGGTACCTCTCTCTCGACTACCGCCGAGTAATCACGTAATCAGCTAACTACAGGTTAAGTACGCGCGCACACCGTCTCAAAACTACGCGTCAATCACGCAGTAATACAAAGTAATCATCACGCGTGCTCGCGACTAATACCGCGGCCTAAATACGCAGCCAGTGGTGGCTCTTCTCAATAAGTCTCTCTCTGGCGGCGGTAATCTGTCCGATACATACACCACGAAACAAACTAGCATTAGACGCTTTACATCATTCTTTCTCTCTCGCTCTTGCTAATGACTCTTCTCTCTGCAGTTCCCTCTCTGTCTCTCTCTGTCACACACCACACAACACGTACACTCTCTCGTCTTCTATTATCCTCTCTCTCTGACACATACACCCTCGATCCCTTCCTCTCTCTTTCTCCCTCTCTCTGACACATACACCCTCCCTCCCTCTCTCTGACACATACACCCTCCCTCCCTCTCTCTGACACATACACCCTCCCTCCCTCTCTCTCTCTCTCTCACACACATACACACACACGCACGCGCGCGGGCACACACCTCTCTCTCTCTCTGTCACACACACAACACAAACACGTACCTCTCTCTCTCTCTGAGACATACACCCTCCATCCCTGGTTCTCTCTCTCTCCCTCTCTCACACACACACACACGCGCGCACACCTCTCTCTCTGGGTGGGCCGAGTCTGTATGGGCCGAATCAGTATGGGCCGAATCAGTATGGGCCGAGTGATCCCGGAATCATCTAGGATTATATTAGCCAAGCACATTGGTTTTATTGGGACCCATGTTCTCTATCCTTGGGCCGCAATTCGTATAAATACAATAACATCAATAATATGTTAATTGGTAATTGGTAAGGCCTAAGGCAAGGCCAAGGGGCCGGGCACCAGCAACATTGACATTGTCATTGTAAATGTTGATAACCAAAAGTAGGCCTACGTACACTCCGGTTCTCCATTCCAACACTTTGTTCTTATAACAAGCGATTTCAAACCGCTTTCCGCCTTTCTTCATTCTTACTACGGCTACATTTGTAAGCCGAATTTGATTTGTAGGCGTAAATATCGTCGACATTTTGATGTCAAACAACTGCAAACACACTACACAGTACACACATGCAATCTCATGTGTTATTGCCCTTTTATGTAAATCAACAAATGTACACCTGAATGAAGCGCCACCTATGAGGAGAGTTATCAGACCGTGAATTTATGCCAGCCAATCAAAGCGAAGATACTGTTACCGGACCAATAACGGCGTGTAATTTAAAATCCAAATATCGAGAATTTTGCGTTGATGTCAACAAAACAATTCCGTGGTGGAGTTATATGCAAATCAATTAACCCGAATTAGTTAATTGGCAAGACAGCTACTTACAGGTATACCGTACAGTATTAGATAATGCACATGTACTACGTAGTGTCGAATGCGGAATTGCTTCTGCCAGTACGACACTAATTATAACACTAGTAACAGTAACATCACTGTCAGACAGCAGCAGTACTACGTCACGGTGTTGTCGTAACTCACTCACTGTATTTCTACAACTTAATACAAGTGCAACTATAGTCTATACAAGTGATTATACTATAGTATAAAAATTGTCATTCATCTCATCTGTGCTGTGGTTACCAGACGACTAGTGAAAGTATTAGAGCTCGGACCGGGCCTGACCTTTGACTTTGTCTCTTTTCGTGACCCGTCTTCGATATTAGTAATAGTATATACTAATTTAATTACTAGTACTACTACTACTACTACTAGCTAGTACTAATACTATATTACTTAGTACCTTGAACTTTGAAATTGAAGACTAATATTTACGAGGTTATTTTTTCCTAACCGTATGTATAGTAAGTAGTATAAGTAAAAGTATATAGTAAAAGTATTATACTAAGTAGTAAGTATAAGATCAAATAATTATTATAAGATGTAATAATTTATGTATCAATGATTCAATGACACATATGATTCATTGTGCAATTTGTGACATTGTACAATTTGTGTGTCACTTTATGCCAGTGGCAATGGCAATGTACGGCAATTCTTGTTATTTTTAATTTTGACTGCAAACGAAGATTCGAGTGAAACTTGCATTATCGGTGACCATGTTTGAATTTTACAGATAACGTAGGGTGCAGAAATAGATCATATCGGATGGCTCTCCATCCGAAATCTCGACGCTCCCCGAAGCGATCGCCTAACCATCGACGCTCTCCTCGTCGTGACGGCCCGAGGCGCTGTGACACTGCTCCTGCTGTACCGGCACCTAGCAGTAATGTTCGAGTTGTTCTTCGCGTGAGGCCAGAAAACAGTCAAGAGAATGCTGGGGGATACAGGAATGTTGTTGAGGTTCTAGATGATCATGTACTTGTGTTTGATCCAAAGGTAGGTGTAAAAAGTCATGGTCGACCTTTATTATATGATATTATATTACATCAGGAGCGTATAATGACAAATAACGTCATTATACGCTCCTGATTACATTTTATTATATTATTCTGGGTGTGATATAAGCATGTTGAAATGACTGCAGGTTATTGAACTTTTAAAATTGATTTATATATCATGCAAGATTAGATATTTTGGAAAATGGCAAGATCACATTTATTAATATTTATACATTATCTGTTATTAGATATTATTAGATTATAAGATAAGACACTATTGTTAAGATTGGAGAATTATTTTATTTATTTATTGATAAATTATTTAATTACATTGTCAGGTTGAACAATCGCCAGGCTTTTTTCAAGGAAAGAAGCTTCGACGAGATGTGCGATTTCGCAGGAACAAGGATATGAAGTTTGCCTTTGATCATGTGTTTGATAAGATGGCAACTAATGAGGATGTGTTTGAAAATACAACCAAGTCGATACTGGACAGCCTCCTGGATGGCTATAACTGTTCCGGTGTGCTAATAATTAAGACACGATTAAAATATTGACTTTACTGTAATTAAAGTGTCTTTAGCCAGTTACGTTAATCAGTATTTAATGTGACGTCAATCAGTCACATTTTTAAAATCCTGAATGCTGTCACCTAATCAAATTTTCACTTCTGTTTACGAAAGTAATATAGGTGATGTATCATAAAAGGGAAGATCCTAATGTTTGATACATTTAACAAAACGTGTAATGTTATTATTGTTTGCACTAGCTGCAATATTGTTTATGTAAAATCTCTGAATAAGAATTCACATGTTAGTTATATTCACATTATTTATTTATTTACAGTCTTTGCCTACGGTGCAACCGGAGCTGGAAAGACTCATACCATGTTGGGTAATTCAACGAACCCGGGTATAATATTTAGGACTGTCATCGAACTATACCGCAGGAAGGAGGAGATGAAAGACAAGATGACATGTGACATTGCTGTGTCTTACTGTGAGGTAAGACCAATTTAACAAACGCTTTTGTATTTGTATTATGCTTCCAGGAAGCTGTGCATGGTTGTTGTACTTGTGGAAAGTAACTTGAAGCATTTTCATATCTTTTTGTACAATTGAGCCATGTATTTTGTTTCATTTTTTTATCCTATTTGAATTCTTTCAGCATAGACTGCACCACAAGTTGGCACGTCTTTTTAATTTGGCTAAGACCAGGTATAGTTTCATCTATATTCTTATTTCTGTTGGCTGTATTTTCTCTCTGCTCTTCGTACAGGTTTATAATGAGACCATTAAGGATCTGCTGGTAGTCGGAGGAGCGCTGGCTGTGAGAGAGGATGCCAAGCAAGGTGTTGTCGTCGTTGGCTTGTCACTGCATCAACCTAAGAGTGCAACGGAACTTTTGCAGGTGCACACTCATTTAATCCTCTACAATACTTGATGGTGCAGCGAGTTGTCCAAATTTATGACAAGTCCGACGGTTTTATAACCATGTCGCTGTCTTTTGCAATAAGTAATTTAATCATCTCTTGCAGATGTTAGAGTTCGGAAACAAGAATAGATCACAACATCCGACCGATGCAAATGCTGAGTCATCCCGGTCCCATGCTGTCTTTCAGGTATGTTCTGGCTAATATGCCTTCATGTCTGTGTTGTCTGCTTAAGAAAGACATTTATAAAAATTGTGTGTAGTAGTAATGAAATTGTATAATCCTTAGTAAGAGTTGATTTTTTCATTGCATGGTGGTTTCTTGCTTACAGGTGTTTGTAAAGCAGAGAGAAAGAACGGCTAACATCAGTGCAGATGTTAGAGTGGCAAAGATGTCACTGATTGATCTCGCTGGTTCTGAGCGCGCAATCGTCACCACCAACAATGGACAGAGGTACATGAATACCATCTCCAAATTACCACACGTGCTTGCTCTAGCATTCCATACATATTCGGGCGACTGACACTTGGATAGCAATGGCATCTAGAGTGGATAACAAAAGATAAATTTTCTCAGACGTTGCACTCAAGAGAATATATATTACATGTAGCACCAGATTCATGATCACAGACTGTGCAAGTAATAGTAGATAACAAATTTATTATCACAGACAGGTAACTAAGAAGAAATAGTGATAGACCGTTATTATTGTATCTTGATAAAAATAAACATTTTAGTATTACAAATGTTATCCATGATTAATGGTGTTATAGTCATGTTGTTAGTAACTGAAAATGAACTATTAGTCATATCTTACTGCAAAAGTTCCTGTTAAGAAATCTGTTTACTATTTTACAGGTTCAGAGAAGGTGCAAATATAAATAGGTCTCTGCTTGCACTAGGAAACTGTATAAATGCATTGGCAGATAGTAAGGTACCCATTTTAATTTCGCTTCAGTCGAGATTATATTATTATTTGTTTAAAAAATGTGAAAAATTAAATCAAATAAACAGCATAATATGTGTCCCTCTCTTCTCTCGGGAGAAGTATGTCTGACTGTCAATATTCTACACTGTTATATGAGGTAAAGTTTACTTTTCAGCATATTTTGCGATATAAATGAGCTCATATCTATGTTTGTTTACATTCAGGTGAAAGGTCAACACATTCCATACAGGAACAGTAAGCTGACGAGACTACTCAAAGACTCGCTAGGTGGCAACTGTCGTACTTTAATGATTGCAGCTGTCAGTCCGTCAAGCATGACATTTGAGGACACTTACAACACCCTGAAGTATGCTGACAGAGCCAAACACATCAAGGCTCAGGTATGAACGCCCCCTGGAGTCCATTGTCAGAAATATCATTATTAGTTACGACTATCGTGTGTCTAAAAATGCCTAAAGTTTTGCAGAAGATTTCATTTGTAAAAATGATTACATTTGCCAAATCTGCATATGGTGCTGTAAATCGGTGACCTTGCACAATATCATTGTACTCTGCAATTGTCTGGTATAATGGAAAGTGTGTAATGGTAAAGTTGTTCTCATTTTCATTGCATGCTTGCTCCATCCTTGTATGCACTATGTTGAAACCTTAGTAGTATAGTAGATATATACTAATATAGTATAGTATATACACTAGTAATATATGGTATGGCCCAACTGAATGCGACTGCAGGGAGGACCAGACTATGGGACATCTCCTGGAATGCCCCTTATTACCAGAGTCCTGTAGCCATGGAGATGTTGAGTCTTTCAACCACCGTGCCAGGTCCTGTGTGCTGCAGTGGCTAGGACGAGTGTAGTGTAGTCCGAGAAGAAGAAGAATATACGGTAACGTTGAATCGTCTTGTGATTTTCCAGCTGAAGCGTAACGTACATAACGTGAACTTCCACATCACCCACTACACTAAGATTATTGAGCAGCTGCGAGCAGAGGTCACAGAGCTAAAGAGCAAACTCACGGCTTGTGAGGAGTGCGGCCCTCGACCAGTAGATGGCGCACCTGTGACAGAGGGAAACACCGTCGCAGCACTCGAGGAGATTAAGAGGTACAATGAAAGAACTGTATATATATGTATATATATATTTATCAGTGTTGTAGGTCTCGAGACCGGTCTTGGTCTCGAGACCGGTCTCGAGACCGTTTTCCTTGGTCTCGGTCTCGGTCTCGGTCTCGGCCTCGGAGTGCAATGACTCGGACTCGGGCTCGGACTCGAGCCCTCCGGACTCGAGCCCTCCGGACTCGAGGACTCGGGTCGAGACCGGCTCGAGGCCACTACATACATAGTAGCAGGAGTCATAGATGCTGTTTGTCGCGCTTTAAATCGCACGTGGGCCGAGTTCACGCGCATCATTCGTATTCAACCACGGGCATAATAATGTACACAGGCGCGCGGTTAATCAATCGTCTACTGCGGCTGGCAGCAAGTGAATTATAAGGCAGAAAGGTGTAAAATGATGTCATGAACCTATGTGCGAGTACTAGTAGGTACTACTATATGACCTCTACCACTTCGAAGGTAGTAGGTACTAGGTAGTAGGTACTAAGTACTAGCACTCTCTCATTTGGTTCAACAAGCCGTGTCATTCTCGTAAAACACAAATGGATTTATGTAATGTTAATGTTATGGTTAGGGTTAGGGTTAACTCTAGTACTATAGCCCACGTACAGTTGCCGCAGGCTATGTAGAGAGCCAGCGGGCTCTAGTACTAGAGCTAGGTTAGGGTTAGGATTAGGGTTTGGGTTAAGGTCAGAGTATTAGCCTAGATACAATAATGTAACCCAAACCCAGGATAGGGTTACAACGCGTTGCTATGGTTTTCTGTGGAGGAAATTCAGGGAACCCCTGAGTGAATCACTCAGGGCGGTTTGCTGGTGAGTTTCAGAGACTAGAACTTCCAAACTGGGTTTATTCTCAACACGAACCTTTCTCCGCTATCTTGGAACTTACTATGTATCACAATACTCTGTATTAAACTAATATAACCTGTTACAAAAATTCGAAGTGACGAGCGGCGAATATACTGAGCACCATTTCTGTTGACCTGTGATGTACTTCGGTTTGAAGAGCGGATTCACCGACCAATCGGAGGGCGCTGCGTTTGCCGATCGCTATGCGCATTACGAATGCGTACGTCACAGGTCAACAGAAATGGCGCTCGAAATATCTGCCGCTCGTCACTTCGAATTTTTGTAACAGGTTATATTAGTTTAATACAGAGTATTGTGATACATAGTAAGTTCCAAGATAGCGGAGAAAGGTTCGTGTTGAGAATAAACCCAGTTTGGAAGTTCTAGTCTCTGAAAATGCACCAGCAAACCGCCCTGAGTGATTCACTCAGGGGTTCCCTGAATTTCCTCCACAGAAAACCATAGCGACGCATTGTAACCTTATCCTGGGTTTGGGTTACATTATTGTATCTAGTATGGCGTCGGGTCCACCCGGCCCATAGCAGTGTCGTCCCATTGACGAAGTCTGCCTATTACAGACTCGGCCGATACGGACTCGGCCCATAATATAATATATATGTTAAATAGAATCATATATGATTAAAGTTCAAATAAATTCTATATAGCAATAACGTTATGTGTTGGTGTGTGTATAATTTAGATTTTATTATATTACTATTGTATGACTATTATTACACGGGTTTTCCATTAATAATGGGAAGATGGCTGGGCCCTGTAGATATAATATTAATAATGTCATGATAATGGGATGTGAGCATAGAAATAATATAGATAATAGTTTATCTATAGTTTATATATATATCTATATATATCTATATATTATTTCTATGAATGCCAATAGCATAACTACAAGAATGTTGGAACTACAGCCGCTCTTCAATGCATTTGTATTATATTGGATTCTTATTATATATCAAAAGCAATTACGTACACACGCACACGCACACACACATATACACACACTCTCTCTCTCTCTCTCTCTCCCTCACATACACGCACGCACACACACACGCGCGCGCACACACCTCTCTCTCTAACACATACGCGTGCGCACCCCTCTCTCTCTCTCTCTCTTTCTGACACATACACACTCTCTCTCTGGTTCTCTCTCTCACACACACACGCGCACACCTCACTCGCTCTCTCTGACACATACACCCTCCCTCGCTGGTTCTCTCTCTCTCCCTCTCTCTCACACACGCACGCGCGCACACCTCACACACACACACACACACACGCACGCTCGCACGCGCGCGCACACCTCTCTCTCTCTCTCTCTGTCCCACACACAACACAAACACGTACCTCTTTCTCTCTCTCTCTCTCTCTCTATTTCCCTCTCTCTCTCTCTGTCACACACACAACACAAACACGTACCTCTCTCTCTTTCTCTCTCTCTCTGACACATACACCCTCCCTCCCTCTCTCTCTCTCTCTGACACATCACCCTTCCCTTCTCTCTCTTCTGCCCTCTCTCTGACACGATACACCTCCCCTCCCTCTCTCTGACACATTACCACCCTCCCTCCCTCTCTCTGACACATCACCCTCCCTCTCTCTCATCTCCTCTCACACACGTACAACACACGCACTGCGCGCGGGCCACACTCGTCTCTCTCTCTGTCACACACACAACACAAACAACGTCCTCTCTCTCTCTCTGAAGACTTACACCCTCCATCCTGGTTTCTCTCTCTCCTCTCTCACACACACACCACGCGCGCACACCTCTCTCTCTGGGTGGGCCGAGTCTGTATGGCCGAATCTCAGTATGGCGCCGAATCAGTATGGGCCGAGTGATCCCGGAATCATCTAGGATGTATATTAGGCACAAGCACATTGGTTTTATTGGGACCCATGTTCTCTATCCTTGGGCCGCAATTCGTATAATATCAATTAACATCAATAATATGTTAATGGGTAATGTGAGTAAGCCTAAGCAAGGGCATAGCGGCCGGGCACCAGCACATGATCATTGTCCTTGTAAATTGTGATAACCAAAGTAGGCCTCGTACACTCGCGTTCTCCATTCCAACACTTTGTTGCTTATAACAAGCGATTTCAAACGCTTTCGCCTTTGCTTCATTCTTTACATACGCTACCATTTGAAGCCGAATTTGATTTGTAGGCGTAAATATCGTCGACATTTTGATGTCAAACAACTGCAAACAGATACACAGTAGCAGCACAGTGCGAAGTGCGTCATGTGTTATTGCCCTTTTATGTAACATCAAACAAATGCTTACACCTGGAATGGAGCCGCCAGCCGTATGTGAGGAGAGTATCAGAACGCGGTGAATATTATGCGCAGCCCAATCAAAGCGGAAGCATACTGTACGCGACCGAATAACGGCGTGTAAGTTTAAAATCCAGAAATATCGAGAATTTTGA